TATATATATATATAATTATTTTAATTCAAAAAGAGCTTAAGAAGAATGGATAAATTTTGTTCGGGTTCTCGTTGAGCTTGTTTGCTTAACAAACGAGTTTAACACGAGTTACTTATATATATATAATTATTTTAAGTCTAAACGAGCTGAAGACGAATGAATAAATCTGCGTTCGGGTTCTTGTTCGACTTGTTTGCTTAAGAAACGAGTCTAACACGAGTTGCTTAATGAGCCCAGCACTTTGTTCGTAAACAACAAGCCATTTTGGCAGCCCTAATTTCCGAGAATAATTCTCTAATGTAAAATTGGTGCAGGATGAATGGGTTGTTTGTAGAGTATTTCACAAGAACGCGAATGGAGGAAAGAGCAGCCCAATCACAATAGATAGTAACAGCTTGCACAGAATCAAAGGCTTCAAAGAAGAGTTTTTGAGCTCAACAAACACTCTTCCACCCCTCATGGATCCTCCCTACTTCATCTCCGGCCATGACCAGACCTACGAGTTCAAACCAGTCGAGCCGCCGGCAATCCCTTCCTACTTCTCCTTCCTCAACGATGTTGACGATTACATGATCATGAGCAACCCTTCGCCGCGAACTCAGAACTCGTGTTGGACGATGCCTGGAGCAGCGATGCAGTCGTCGTCGTCATCATTGCCGCCCATAAGAAGGCACTGTAAAGCGCAACAGTTTTCGAACCAGTCGATGCTGAGCCAGGAGACTGGAATCAGCACAGACCGTTCGACCGATGTTACGTCCGTTGTAGTGAAGCACAATATCGGAATTGAAGACTTTGATGGGTCGTCGATGGCGGCCGGCGGCGTGATGGACTTGTGTGGCATGTGGAAGTGCTGAAGATTGGAACGAAGATCATAGATGAATGTTTATAAGAAGAGATCATTAGGGTTTATAAGTTTAGTGGTCTCTATATTTAGAAGATGAATGTTTGGGAAGAATATTGGGTTGTGATTTAACTTTGATGTACATAACAAAGAAAACTTATGATGATTGGTCTGGGTGAAGAATAATAATGTAAATGTTATATTGTTTTGGGTATATATTGTAATTCCCATATTATGTTGTGTAATTTTACTAGAAGTTGGGTAAAAAAATGTTTTTGTTGTGAAATATTAGATGGTCTAATTTGAAGATATTTGAGTGAGAATTTGAAAAATAAGTGAATGAGGGTGGTCAATAAGGAAGATTTGTATATATACTACTCGATCAATTTTTAAGTATATACGTGTTGAATCCTGAATTGTCTTTTGTGAACACTCCTCGGGTGTTAGAGCCGAGTGAAAGAGAGAAAGAATAGAAAGAGTAATAAAGTGATCCAAGAGTTATCGTGGAGATAACCGAGTAATAGTCCCCTTATTCATATTTTTGTCTTATATTTATAAAAGCGTATTTTGTACAATTACATAAATGAGGAAAAATTTATGGAAACTCTTCTTAATAAAATTATTGTTCTAATAAATTGTACGGATTTTATTACATAGTTGTATGACAATTTGAATTTTGATATGACAGTAATTTATTGATCAACTTGCTAGAATTCAGTTGACTTATGTGATCGACTGGGTAACGACCGTGCCTTGTGTTCTGTCAAACGAGGGGTTTGGTCGAATGACGATCTCGTCTGTCATGAAAAAAGAGGGTCCAATCAAGATCAAGAGGTTTCTTTCTGCGCTTCAGTCGGTCGTTTGTTCGACCAATGCGTCGATTGTTTTGTCTGGTGAGTTGAAGCTTACCTATCGCTTTGGGTCAAGGCTTACGGAGCCTGCGTCTTGCTAGCTGGGTGGTTTGTCGCATTGGTCGGATATCCCTATTTGCAATGTTTTAGGGGAATCTTGTTGCTGCTTGTGCAATGCATCCGACGAGACTTACCACTATGATGAATTACGCCTTGCCTTTGGCGAATCTTGTCAATATCAGGCGAGGGACTATCTCCAAAGCTTTGACATGTCCCCGGTGTAGAGACGTGCATGACATGCTTGGCAGTGACATGTGAGTCGGTTCTTTGCGCTTTTTTAAATTTCGGTCATTCGTTCTCTTTAAAATTCATACTGACAGTTGCGATGTATATAGTACACATCTAGCACCTATATCTTATTTTTTACATATATACTATCTTACCTATGCATGAAAAGATACACTTCACGTTTTAAAAGTTAAAATGGTGGTATTCTTAATGTGATTTAAGAGATTGAGCGGTATAAATGTAAAACGCAAAGTTTAAATGCTAGATATGTAAATACATAAGAATTAGGTGGTAATTAATACTCCTGAAAAAAATTGCAAGGAACTGCCATCGCAAGATATCAGTAAATGGATTCATGATTTGCAAATTGCAAAGCAATCAAAACTGAATCATTTTCAGAAATATGCTTTCGAAAATCTTAATTTGTCATGTGCAAAACTTTAATTTTTTCTCAGATAATTAGCTTATTTATTTATTTATTTCTTTTTGTTATAGTGTTTTTCTTTATTATAGTGATGATGATATTCACTGTTAAGTGAGGTGTGTATCTTATTTTTTGTACTGTTATGAGGCGATGTTTTGCTTTTAAAGTATCAAATATATTACTATGACAGTTTTGCTGCAAACAACATTGCTACACATGAATAAAATGATAATTTGTCCAAAAACAAATGTGTTGCAATTGTTCTCAAACAACAATAACTAAACATCCAACCAGCTTCTACGCAGCAGCATTTTGGGGCAGCTGTGTAGCAGCTGCAGCTGCCCCAAATAGACCTTTCATCTTGTAATTACTGATTTTCCACCTCTTTGTCTCCTTTCCTGTTATGATAGAATTAGTATAATACAAACGTACGACTTAATTTTTCCCCAGCCATGAAAGAAGGGGTGCAATTAGTGAATTGCTTTATATGACATATTTGTAATATTTCACACAAATAGATAATTACATGAACAAAAAAATAGTTTTAGAGGAAAATTGATAGCATATTTTCTTTCTATTCAAAACAAACATTTGGTCCATATGTTATTGTATGTTTGACTTTTTAATACACATAATTTGTTATGTGAACAATATGTTATGCAATTTTGTTGCATGGAATATTTATGAGATATTTTTGCAAAATTATTCACTATCAAATACAATATGCTAGGCTTTGAATTTAGGCTATGTTATGTAGGTTAACTTTTTGTACGAATGTTAGCGGCCATCGCTGGCCACAATTTCATATATACCGTGAATGACATGTTACTTATGACATTAATTTCGCAAACAATATACTGTAGCGGCCAAACGGTCTCTAAATGAGCTGAATGTTACAATTGCTAGCACTCATTCTACTTCTCCACTAATGACTAACACCTAAGATGGGTCAACGTAAAATTTTTCATGGGGCCTCTTCCCCTACTAATGTATGGAGCTTCCTCATGGAAGCTTTTACGTATGTTCCACATAATTTCTACATATTCACATGTCTAACAGTTAAACTTCAACTTTTTCATATTCGCCAACTTACTTAATAGAATATGTATTTGTAAACAAGCAACAATACTTAAATTTATTTTAACCCTATTATTTTGTTATAGTTCTATTAATTTTGTGTTTTGAACATGTTATTTGATGTTGTTATATTTTTAAATTACTTGCTAGTTTAATGTTACATGCATTAAATGTGATTACTATAATTTCAAATTTAGATGAGCACTAAAATACTTATTTCTACATTTTATAGTACCACTCTCCTAAATTTTAAAATGTATTAATTACATTTAATGCATGTGCAATTAAACTTTCTTGGCCTCATCCTTCAAATGGAAGTGCTTTGTCACTACAAATTTATTACAAAAATATCTTTAAATTTACTAGAAAATTGCCAAAGTTTTTTTCAATCCTTTAAATGGCTGAAAAAAAATTAATATATATATATGTGTGTGTGTGTGTCGTGTTCCCCGGCTTGTTAGTTAGCATCCGCGGAGTAAGACCCCTCAGGTCAGGGGTTTGAATCCCCTCTGACACAGTTAGCATTAAGAAGGTGGTACTCGAATTGTTCGGCACATTAAGGGTGGCTGGATGCTCGTATAATAGTCTTTGGTCATTCCTCATATATATATATATATATATATATATATATATATATAGAGAGAGAGAGGATATGTTTGAAATGAATTATTGAACAATGCAACTCCAAATGAAGAGTTATGATAAAATTATTCATGAGTCATAATCCAAAATTATGAATAATAAGTAGTATTCTCATGGCTCTTTGTGTATTCAATGCATGCATGCAATTTGTAACCCTATTCATTGAATTTTAGAAGATGCTCGTGATCTATTTTTAAATTGAATGTTGGAGTATTAATATTTGACGATTCACAACTCACTTTTTATATTATATTTGGTCTACTTTAATGATTTGACTTTAGCTTTATCATTTAATTGTCAACTACAGTTATGACGACTGGTCTTATATTGGATCATCAGATCGGTCGACAATCCCAAGGTCAGAAGGTCATCCAAAGGTGTACCTAAGGGTCGAATCATCTTAACATATGGTGACTGGTTCATCGTAGAACCAATAGAGTAACAATATCACTATCGATCGACTACTGACGCAGCGACCCAAGGCCAGATGATCATCTGGATGGGACGATCGCCATATCTCGTACCAATCAGATAATCCTACTTGTTATTTCTATTATATTTATTCTATAATTTAGTAGAAGAACCGCTCAGAAATTAATGATTAGAGAGCTTATTTGTAATTCTAATATTAATACCCCTATGTCGATAAATAGAGTCATTTTACAATAAAAAAAATATGTGTTTCTACTGTTCATAATTGTTCTTCCCTTTCAGCTCAGATCTGCCCAGCGCTCTATTCCTTGGATGTGTTTCCCGGACTTTTTTGCATTCAACAATAGATAAATCTCAAATTTCAGGGTCGAGAATTGCACACTCTGAACGTTGACCAAGCACTCAAATTTCTGAACTTTTTACAAAGGAACGAAGTGTAATCATTTTAGGGAAAAAAATTATTTCGGGTAATGAAGTGCCGCTCACCGCTAACTTGTATGATGAAATAACCGTCAATGGCTAACCATCAGGACGTGCAGTATCCGGGTGAAATATGTCTCCCTTTCAGGATAACTCAAACACCATCTTACACCTTGAAAACAACCATCATGTTTCAGGCAATGATATGATCATGTCCAAGCACTTCACCTATTAAATATATAAAACGGATAATAAATTATAAAATATGCTATTAAAATATTTGGTTTTGATATTTCTCTGAATACCACACATATTATATGTATTTACATATAAAAAATCTAAAGTCTTACATTTATTGCACTTTAGTAAATCTAAACATGAAAAATATGTATTACACTTTTGAAATCTAAAAATAGTGATATTTATAGGGAGTGTTTGGTAGCATACTACTTAGAGATTTAGCCATGAATTTAACTTAAATCTCGCCAAACAAAAAGAAAAATAGAAATTAAATCTAATATTCCATTAAATCAATAATTTTCACGTTCGTGGATATTACTTGCATCCCTTCTGAATTTATTAAATCTAACTATGAGGCTACTGTCATTAAAATTACATTCATTGTATTCAGCTTTAGTTCTACACTAATTAAGTCACTTAGACTCCAATGCAGACCTCCATAATTAAAGTTTTTCCTAAACTATTTCTCTAGTCTTATCCGCGAGAAGAATATCATCAGCGAAAAACATACACCAAGTAACATCCTCCTATAAATGTCTTATTGGTTTAAAGTCGATCCCTAATGTAATACAACTGAAATACGAAAATCTTTGGTCAATCCACTTTCTGTTCGAACACAGCTTTAGCATAAATATCTTTAATGACTTGAATATTTGCTTCAGATAAAAGAGTAGATATTTTAGATTCGACTTATGTTAAGAAAGACAGAGGTAGACTTGGAAAAACTTAGGCATGTTGTCTAAAAAATAATCTTAATTTTTTTCAAATTAACTGAAATATGACACTCAATATGACAAAATGGAGAAAAATGGTGAAAAAGATTTATTGTTGTTGTAACAACGAGACGAATTTATGAATATCTCTCATTGTTGCTCCTGAGATTTGCATTGAGTTTGATAAATCTTGATTTAATAGCATTTGATAAATGTTGTTTAACGTAAGATTAAGTCGCAGTCAAACACCCACTTGATGTAATGTTAAAGATTAGTGTTATACATATATATGTAAGGAAATGAACAAAGACTATTAGATGAGTCCCGATCATCGTAAATCCCCTCAGGTAAAGGGTTCAAATTTGTACGTGTAAGAGACCATGATACATGATACACACACTTTAGCATAAATATCTTTAACACTTGAATATTTAGCAAGAGACCATGATACACACACTTGTATGCCAGATATATATATATATAATATGGTATTGTACTTATGTAAATGTCCCTACAATTTTAATTAATCTTATCTACACTGTAACTTATCCACTCAAAACAAGAGGCGCTAACGCGGGTGTGAAACGTGGTGCAGTTCTGTACTCCCAACTACCCACCTGTAAGACAATTAAATACACGTGGCAGAAAATCTGTTCATCCACGTCACTATCATTCAAAATCCAACGGTCATGATCCGGATAAGCACAAATGGCAGAGAAATGGATAAAGAAAAAAAATTCACGACTCCCAATTTTCTCTGCCTCCCTTCTTCCTTACCCTGTTCTTATTCTAGGGTTTTCTCAATATCCGTGTCAAAGCTTCGATCTTTAGAATCCATGGCGGAGTTGCTGAGCAAAAGCTGCATCTTTCCCCAGATCGAAAACCAGTCTTCATCTTCGTCCATTTCTCAGAATCGAAAAAAACCATTCTTTTCTACTTTCTCCACCTTTTCGATTCAGCCTGCAAGCAAGTTTCTTGGGAAGAAATTGCTTACCGAGAACCGAAAGGGGAAACTTTTGAATCGAAATCTCCATGCTGTTCCTGTGCAGGTAAATGGAAAATATATTATTTCATTTTTCTTTCTCTGAAAAGGAAATTCTTTTCTAATTTTTTTTTTTGGCTTGAAACAAACTTCAGATGACAAAACAAACTTCAGATGACAGCTCTGATTAGTAAAGCTATGAGGTGGTGGGAGAAGGGGATTCAGCCGAACATGAAGGAGATTGATTCAGCTCAGGACCTTGTGGATTCCTTGTCGAAAGCTGGTGACAGGCTTGTTGTTGTGGACTTCTTCTCTCCCGGCTGTGCTGGTTGCAGAGCCCTGCATCCAAAGGTTGATATTTTACCAAAAAAATTCCTTCTTTTTTTACTAAATTTGTCAGGCTTATTTATTTATTAGTTATTTTTTTTATTGCAGATATGTCAATTTGCCGAAAGGAACCCAGATGTTCTCTTTCTACAAGTGAATTATGAGATGCATAAATCCATGTGCTATAGTTTGAACGTTCATGTTCTTCCCTTTTTTAGGTTTTACAGGGGAGCGAATGGTCGTCTTTGTAGCTTCAGCTGTACTAATGCCACTGTAAGTTCTGCAACTTCTTCGTTTAATCGTTTGTAGACAATTTGTAGTTATTTTTATATGATTTTTTGTCTTACATGATTAAGGTGCTGTTTGAATCCTGAAAATCCAGATTTGGTTTCTCAAAAGCAGAAAATTGTTTGGCTTGACTGTTAATTCTTGTTAAGTTTGACTCTATTCTTATTCATATATCTAATAGCTGCATCTTCGTAATTACATATACAACAGTAATCTCTAAATCACATAAAAGATTTAACTTATCTAAAGCAAATTGACATTTTGATACACAAATATATAAGAATTATATGTTTGTATGTAAACCCCCATAAATTATTTATCTGTTTATATCAGAACTTATGATTTGTGAGAAGGAAAAAGTCTGAAATCTGTCAGTTCCTTTCAATGATGATATTTGACGTATTTTGTTTTTAACAAACAGCATAATGAAATGAGATTCATTAAAATGATAGGCTTTGATTTGTCTGTTTGGCAACATTCAAACTTGCTTAAATCCTGCTAAAAATAGGATTTTTAAAACTCTTTATGCCATTTTATTGCAGATAAAGAAATTTAAGGACGCATTAGCTAAGCATAACACTGAAAGGTGCAGCCTTGGACCAACAAAAGGGTTGGAAGAATCTGAACTGTTAGCTTTAGCTGCAAATAAGGATCTGTGCTTCAGCTATACCAAGGAGGAGGAACCTGTGTTTTCTGCTGCTGAAGTTAAGGATCCGGTTTCCTCCATTAAAGAGCTCCCTCTTCCTCTGGTTTCATTATCCAGGCAAGAGTCTGAAGGCCAAGCTCTGGCTGCTTGTGGGAGATGAGATTCAAGTAAATGATGATGGACTTTTATGTAGAACGTTTCATCTGTATTTCTGTACAGTTTTTTTTTTAAATTGTTTTGTGATTGAAATTGTGCATTAGAGGGAGTTCATGGTATTTTATTGCAGGCCAAGTTTGTTTTTTTATTTGGTGTTTGATGGCCTGTTTAAGTATGGATATGGAGGGAGAGCCTGCTTCAATCAGGTGCTTAACTGTAACAGAACTTGATTGAGATTTGTAATTTAGATATTATTGAAATGAGTGATTGCTTTATTTTTCTACTGTTATTGTTATTTAAAGTTCTTTTGGCTTCAGTTTGTAAAGATTGGGATAATTACATTAACATCACTTGAAATGTTGTTTTTATAAAATTAGATCTTAGATGATTTTTTTGAACTAATTTATAAATTTTAAAAGTTGTTATGGTTTCAGCTATTAAATATTGGGATAATTACATGAAAGTTTTGTGTGATATACACTTAAAACATAAATGTTTAGGTGACAAATATGTAAATACATGAAAATTGAATATATGTAAATGCCTATATATTTTTTTAATGGGGTATTTACATACATATCAATCAGTTTTTAAAATCATTATTTTACTTTTTTAAAATAAGTTATATTCATCTTTTTGGTGGAGATGACATATGGATAAAAACTGAAGTTTAGGTGTGATTTGTAAATGCATAAGCATTTACTGATGCATTACATATATATCTAATCTTTCATGGATAGATAAGATGATATATAAAAATTGAAGTTTAGGTGTGATTTGTAAATACATTAGAGCTGACTGGTATGTATGTAAATCTTGTTTGGATACATAAGCATTTTCTGATGCATTACATATATATATCTTATCTTACATGTATAGGTAAGATGATATATAAAAATTGAAGTTTAGGTGTGATTTGTAAATACATAAGAATTGACTGGTATGTATGTAACTTGTTTTAATTGTATAGAAATACAAAATAAATATCTTAACTGGATTTTAACATTATTAATATACTTTTTTATTATAATTTCAGATTAGCTCAACATGATTAACAAACATGATGATTGAATTATGAGCTCTTCCTACATTTACTTGATAAATAACAACATATAATATAAAATATTGATTGATTACTTAACAATCATATGCACTTCTAATGATGTCTTAATTGCTTAGCTTTTATCTCTATCTCAAGCCCATGTAGGTATGTTTGTAATTGGTTTATATGATAGTATAACTAGATCTAAAATGTGAGTTAAATACTTTTTTGATCTCCCTCCAATTCTTGCTTGTTCGTAACTTCTTCGAGCGATTCAAAAACCATTGTATATACCCAAATGAAATTATCCTCATTTTTCTCTCTCAATGAGAATTCACATTGTAGTCCAAGTCTAGCTTTATCTTTATGCTTAGATGTTGCTCCATTGATGTACTGGTCTTGCAATCATCATCTATGTTATGTTGGTGAACTAAATGAAGAGTTATATTGAGACTTTATATGTATAATCATCACATATAATCTAATAATAACTTCACCATTTGTATCATAATTCATTAGTAAGGCCTTTGTATATCATTGAGGAACATACACATTTTTCTATAGTCATTTATATTTAATTTTGATCCAATATTTTCTTTTCTTTTATGACAAACTATTACCTCGCAATAAAGTATAATGTAAAGGATTAACAATATAGTGTAATTCAGGAGAAACTTAAGCATCTAGTGCTCCTTTAATATATGAAATCATCATTAAATAAAGTCAAACTTAAATTTATATTGAACCTAGATTTCTTAAAAGATAATATTCATTATAAACTAGACCAACTTATACATAGATAAATCACTAGAAATCAATTCATTCGAACAAGATTCAATGATGTTTGAGCCAATTTCTATTCTCTTGAAGAAAACAACATATGATCAATGACATTCTAGATTTAGATTTCAGTGTAAAAACAAGTGTTAATCATGGCTGACATATGGTTTGATCAACATTTAAAACATAGAATAAGATGTTTAATGCCATCCACTATTTTGAATTTAGAATGCAAAGGGGCCCAAATAGAGACAAAAAAATGCATTGGAAATAGGGTTACCAAACAAGTTTCTCATTTTCATCTATAACAATCAAATATTCATATCATATAAAAATACCACTATTTTAATTTTTAAAGTAAAACATACTTTCAATGCATAGGGAAGACGTCAAATATAAAAAAATTGAAGTTTAGGTGTTAGTAAATACATACTAATCAAGTATTATTCATGTAAGACTTCATTTGAAAGAGCTTCATCCTTGGGCGAATCTTCTTTAAGAGACTCGTCGTCGAAATGGAGAAGGCCGTCTGCAATCTAAAACGAAGAAAAATTATTATTCTTGCCAAATAATTAAGTCCTATTTTTGTTGTTATTATGGGCATGAAATCTCAAACGACATCTTTGGAGCTTCAGCCTCGATCCATGTCCCAACGATGCAGCTTGAGACGCATCTCCTCTTGTCTCCTCTCCCCTAGTCATCACACCAGGAATAGAACCCATCACCTTACTCCTCTTCATTACCTCACCCTTTTACTGAATCAATGCTCCACCTTCAACCAGATAAGCCAAGCTCACACCTTTATGCTCTCCCGTGGCCTCGATCAAGACAATCTCCTCCTCAGCAAGTTCATCCATGTGTGTTCTTCCTTGGGCTTCAAAGACTACGCCTTTACGCTCTTTCAATGCAAACCAAGTCCCGATCTTCATCTTTATAACACAATGATCAGAAGTTTCTCTCAGTCGGATTCAGCAAGAGACGCCATTGATTTGTTCAACAAGATTCAAGCCGCAGGTTTTAGACCCGACACTTACTCGTTTCCTTTTCTGCTGAAGGCTGCTGCACATTTATCCAACGCAGACGTCGGAAGAGAGGCTCATGGACAGGTTGTTCGACTAGGTTTTGAATTCGACATTCATGTCTCAACTGGTCTTGTTCATATGTACTCTGCTTGCAGATGTATCAGTGACGCCCGCCTCCTGTTTGACGAAATTCCTCAAAAGGATGTGGTTCTTTGGAATGCAATGGTTGCAGGTTACTCGAAGGTTGGTGATCCCGAGAGTGCGCGCTTGCTGTTTGATAGAATGGCTGAAAGGAATCTCATATCGTGGACGTCGATGATCGCAGGATATGCACAAATGAATCGTGCTGATGAGGCGGTTGTCTTCTTTCGTAGGATGCAGGTCGAGGATGGCATTGAGCCAGATGAAGTAGCATCATTGTCAGCACTTTCAGCTTGTGCTCAGTTAGGTGCTCTGAATTTAGGTGAATGGATTCATAGTTTCATTGATAAGCATTGCTTGCATAAGACCATCCCGCTGAGTAATGCACTCATTGACATGTATGCTAAAGCAGGTGACATATGGAAGGCATTTGAAGTGTTTGAAAGCATGAAGAGTAGGAGTATTGTTACTTGGACTTCCATGATAGCTGGTTTTGCACTTCATGGGCTTGGGAGCGAAGCGCTACAACTCTTTGATCGAATGGAAAGCGAAGGCGTGAAACCGAATGGTGTTACTTTTATAGCCATTCTATCAGCTTGCAGCCACATTGGTGATGTTGTGTTGGGAAGAAGGTATTTCAGCTCAATGAAATCATTTTATAATGTTGAGCCTCAAATAGAGCACTATGGTTGTATGATTGATATTCTTGGTCGCGCCGGTTGCTTAAGGGAGGCGAGGGATCAAGTTAGAGAAATGCCTTTTAAGCCTAATGCAGCTATATGGGGATCTTTGTTGTCTGCTTCAAGAATTGTAGGCGATGTTGAGGTTGGCCAGGAGGCGTTGAAGCATCTCATCGAAGTTGAGCCTGAAAATAGTGGGAACTATTCTATATTATCCAATATTCATGCAATACACGGGAACTGGGATGATGCTGGAAGATTGAGGAGGGTTATGAAGGATTGGGGAGTTGTTAAAGTTCCTGGAGGGAGTTCTATTGAATTAGATGGCAAAGTTCATGAATTTACGTCCATGGATGGACTCCATCCTTCATTGGAGGAGATATATGGGGTTCTTGATGAGATGAAGATGAACCTAAAGATCAATTGGTATGCTCCAAGGTTTTGTGAAGGCGTGTTAGAGGAGGAAGGTTTCATTTCGTAATATGCCGTGCAGTGCAAGGTATGGCCTTCCATTGCACACTTTTTATACTTCAAATTTCACTTAATTCAAATTTATCTGAATTCAATGTTGCAAAAAAGCATTGCTAACAAAAGCCAAAGTGTGATAAATTATCCTTTTCAAGAATTGCGAAGATGTTTATATAGTTCTGCAAGAGTTGGTTATGTCTGGCCATGATTTACATGATTATTGAGTTTAACATTATAGAGATTGAAGATATCAGATGAGATGTACAGTGCTCTTTAAGTAATGAGTTATGAATCATTACATCCCACATTGTGGTCTGGTTTTATCTGACCATTTTTGTACTTAATGGATCTGCAATAGAGTTGACAACAAGATTTTGGTTGTAATATAACCATATGGGTTTTTAAGCTTTCCTTTTCTCCCCCTTTCTCTATTTCTCTTTGTCTTAGCACACTAAAACTTTTTCGAGTTGTGGGTGAGGCAACATGGTACATAATTACTTCATCTAACATGAACTAAAATGATAATAAACATCCATATTAGCTAATTGTTGTATGCTAGAAGTTGAGCCGACATAGAAATATTTTTATTGTCTTAACCGTCAATAATATCATACACACATTCAGAGAAGTGAACAGACATGAGACATATGTTTTCTTATATGAAAAATCATAAAAAGAATGTAAGCTCACTTGAATTAACTTTAATATTAATAAGGACATTTACAAAAGGCAAACTTTTCTTGAACTCAAAGGAAGCATCAATACATATTTGGTCAAAGATAGCCACTCCAAGTTTCTCTATTGATTATGACACAAGAAAGTCCATGAAGTAAATTGAGGTAATTGTATTAGTTCTCTTTTTAAAGGTAAATGTGACACGACCCTGAGCTAACAAACAAGGTGTTACTATGTGAAGTCTATTGAAGATGGTCAAATTGATCCTTCACAGAGGGTGAAGGTGCTATGACCTAAAGGTGGTGATAAGGTGACGTTGCAAAGGTTGTGGAGACGACTAAAGATGACTTAATTGGTCTTCCATCAAAGGTAGAGATGACGCCATCTAAAAATAATGTCAAACCACGCAAGAAGGGCATGCAAGGAATTTAAGATGATTCGATTGATTCTATTCTAGAGGTGGAGACAACATAACTTTTATGAGGTGATAGAGTTGCATGGTATAGATGTGAAATCCTTTGAAGTTGGATGAATTTGCTATCCCCTAGGGGTGGAGATGGCATATCTTGAAGGCGGTGATAGAGCAATGCAAGTGGCCACAAAAGACATTAAAGAAAAACTGATCAGTCTCCTTAGAGGGTTAATAAAGGGAGTTCAAAGGTATTGTTATGGATGGGAAATCAGGACACTTTCCTTCATAGAGGAAGTTATTAAGATAAATAATTATTATAGTATTAGTATGAATTATGAAAGACATATCCGATGTTTTATTATTTATGAAACCATTAAATTGTTCCTTTCTAGCCAATGAGTCATGCGCCTATAAAAGAAAGAACTTTTATATTAGAGTATTATGATTTGAGAAATTAAAATAATTGATTTTGCCTTTCTACTTTCTTTTTTTATTATTTAATATTGTCATCCTCCCTTCTCCTATCTCTTTTTCTTTTATCCTCCTATAGTATATATTCTTTCTCCCTCTACCCCTATGTTTTTCATACCATTCACCAAGAAAGAATTAAATGAGTTAGGTAGTCTCATTCTTTATAGAAGGGGATTGAACACCCCAAACTCGATAGACAATAGAGGTGATCAAGACAATCCCTCTTATGAGAAAAGAATCTGAGTGTGCACTATTTGGATAAAACCAAAAAGCAAACAAAATTAATATTATTTGGTTGGTTTGGCTTGATTGTTGAAGTATCGGTTCAATTATTAATTGTAGTTTTTTTATTTGATGTTATTTGCTTAAAATTTTCTTTACAAAATCGACAAACCAAAAGTCAAAATATTAATATTTTTAAATATTGAACTAATAAAATTTATGAACAAAATAAACAAGTGCCAGAGAGATCAACATGGATAACATTTATTCAACTTGATGAAATTTTAAATTTTAGCAAAATTTTATTTAGTATTCCTCTTAAAATATATTATTAAAGCTGAAGATAACTAAGTTTATTAATTAAATTTTCCATATTTTGGTTCATTCAAAATTAACCAAACTAACCAAATTAAAGTTTTGATTAGTTCATTCCTCTTTAAATAAAATAGGATTTTTTTTGGCATGATTTAAATATGCATTTTTTAAAACAACTTTCTCATTGCTACGAGATAGTCATTTTACCTATATATCTATGGCATTCATAATTTGTTTGATTCTCAAATTAATTTTGAGATGAAAATTGAGAGTTTCTTCTAATAAGAATATAATGAACAATTCTCAATTTTACTGTGGCTTAGGAACAATTAGAAACTAAATCACACCACAAAATATCATAATCATGCAAATTCGAGAGAAATTGGAACAAAATTTAAATGGAAGCACAATCAAATAAAACTAGAAAAGAATACAGGAATTTAACATGGAAAAACCCGAGAACAATAAAAAACCATGGAGCCACACCACCAGAAAAATTATACTATGAAATCAAAGAAGTTTTACAGAGAACTCACACCAAATTCTTCTCTATACACAAGAAAACTTACAGAACTCGCTTCATAATCTTCTTTCTGCTAATCCAATGCAAGAATTACGCCGAATTTTCTAAATTCACATCTTCGACTCTTCTCACCTTCATCTGGAGGAACACAATCAAAGAACACAAATGAACAATTCACACACAAAAAAACTTATGCCGCTTGAAATCAGGACTTTAATTAAAATCTCGTGTTAACTGCTTTTGCACATAGGCACCCGACTTGGCTGCCTGAGTGCTAAGTGCTCTAGAAGGAGTCGCCCCAGCGCCCACATTGGACGCCTAAGCACCCCTAAGGGGCCGCAAGTGCGCCCCCAACTATGTGAGCAGCCCCCATAGCTCGGTGCATTGGTGTCTGACTCTCTGTCTAAGAGAAAACCAACACAAGTGCGGGCGCTGATTCACCCGAACACCTGCTGCTCGCGAGTGCTCCAATTAGGCTCCACAACATAACAATCTTCTACTTGGAGACTGATCACACCGAGTACAGTCCTCCGTACCTACAACTCCATTTGAATTGCCTTCATAATCACGTATCGTGGTATGGCTCACCCCCGATCTTCACCTTCATAAAACTCAACTAAAGCTAAGTATAACTTCAGATTCTCAATAATCACCTACTTTGTTAACATATCTGCAAGATTCTCAGCTGTGTGTATCTTCTCCAAGAATAACTGCTCGTCTTCTAGAAGAGATCAAATGAAATGATATCTTAGCTAAATGTATTTTTTATCGCACTCATACTATCACTGCAGAGTTTTCCAATCACCTGCTCCTAGCCCAATACTACCATGAAACTCTGTAGTCAATCATCTTCTTGTTAGCTCTAGTGATAGCAATATATTTGGTGTCCGTAGTTGAAGTACAACAATCTTCCGCAACCCGGAAACCCAACTCATCATTGTGTTCCCCAATGTCAAAATATACCCCGTTGTACTTCTGTTATCCACATCTGCTAGCAGATATGAATCTACTAGTCCCTGTAGACTGATCCCCACATTTCCATAACAAAGTGCATATTGACCGTTCCCCTCAAATACATGAGTCCACTTTACCACCTCTCAGTGATGCATGTTTAGATTGTCCATGTTTCTATTGACCACTGCCACTGCACATGCAATATCTGGTCTGGTATAAATCATTACATATATCAAACTTCCAACTTCTAAAGCATATGGAGTTCTCTCTATTTATGATTGCTCTACTTCAGAGTTAGGTGATAGCTCCTTATATAGTTTGAAGTTTGAAGGGACTACCTAAGGGAGTGCTAACTGGTTTTGCATCACTCATGTTGAACCACTGTAGGATCTTCTCAACATACTCTGCCCAAGACAACTTTAGTATTCCTGCACTCTTGTCATTTCCGAAGATCTTTCTGGTTGGACCTAAATCCTTCATTTCAAACTCACTTCGTGACTGTTTCTTCTGCTAATCCAACGCAAGAATCACACCGAATTACTGAAATCCACCTCTTCGACTCTTCTCACTTTCACTGGGAGGAGCACAATGGAATAACATGAAGGAAGAATTCACACACAAAAAAAACTTAACGCCGCTTGAAATCGGTACTTAAATCAATATCCCGTGTTAATTGCTCCAAGCGCATGGACACTTGGAGTTGGGCGCCTGAGCACTAAGCACTCTAAAGTGGGCGCCCCAGCACCAACATTGGGCGCTTAGGCGCCCATAAGGGGGCGCAGGAGCCCCCAGGCTCTTTGAGCGGTGCCCATATTTTGACTCTTTGGCGTCGGGTGCTCTATCTGAGTGGAAGCTAGCACTAGTGCGTGCGTTGGTACGCCCAAATACCTGCTACTCGTCGGTGTTCCAAACAGGCTCCGCAACATAACATATTCAACTTTTATGAATGGATTTAAATGGTCCAAGATGCATGTTTTGTTTCAAAAAATTATTTCTTGATCAAACGAGGATTTTTACAATCCCAATAATAATGATAGAAAAAGTATCCTTAAAATAAATAAGCGTGTATAAATCAGTTCATGATCCTAATTTGTTCAATGCTAGTTAGCACATAGTAGAATACATTATTTAATGAATACTTCAAGTTTTACAAATGCCGTTGAATGAAGACTTACCAAAATATTATTTAATTCTAATTCTCTCAAAAATTTTGTTCACACCAATTATGGTGGTTAAGTCCATTATCAAGCTGAAAAATTTTGCTTATTTACTATCAAATCAAATACGAGCTGAATATAAACAACAAATTTATTGATGATAATCAAATACATTAATAATTCTTTATTGATAATTTTGATTGCATTAAAAAAAATGATTTCTGAAGTACTGAGGCTTTTTAAACATCATAGAATTAGTTAAATCATGTCATCCACAATTTTTAAATTACATTTGATATTTTTTAACACTGAAACGTGTGAATAAAAAGAACTTTTTATATTTACATGATTCTTATAGGCAGCACATGTAGAGAAACCCTCACCAATTTATAAAAGTAATAACCTTATGAGTACTGTTATTCAGCTTTAATGAGTCATTCTTCCTCTATTTTGTTTGGCAAGCCATTTGGTCTTTCTTCTTCCACATTTCATTGAGTACTGAAGAATGGAATATAAAACAGGCTTATTATAACAAAATCAAATAATTAATTAAATTTCTCTATTATACAAACTAAGCCCAGTATTTATCTTTAAAAATTTTAAATCTTTAAGGTTCCCTCTCACATATCGTTCTACAAACAAGAGAATCAATGAACACATGTGACAGATCCCTTTCACTGACAGAAATTCAGTACCACTGGTCAGAGATGTGGGATCACAGCATATTTAGCAAACACAATTCTTCAGAAAAGACAACAGTCAAGTTGTTACTTTGATAATGTTTATCAGCTGTGATTTCTGAAACTTTTGTTTGATTTTGAGAAATTGGAACATTTGAAAGCAAATGGAGAATTTCTTTTGGGAAATTTACATACATGGCACACATTTCCCTTGTATTTACATATGCCACACCTAAACTTTCATATTTACATACATAACATTTTGGTGCTTTAAACCTATGCATGAAATTGTGTATTTCACTTTTAAAAAGTAGTAAAAGTGCTATTTTTTATATTATATTAAAAATTAGAGTGGCATGTGTGTAAATATGAAAGTTTAGGTGTGAGATATGTAAATACATGAGAATGTGTGCTATGTATGTAAATGACCCTATTTTCAAGTAGAATTGAAAGAAAACAATGAATGTTGAAGGCATTAGCATGCTTATGTTGTATCAAATTGAAGTTATAGAACATTGAAACACTTAAGAAGAACAATATTACACAATGAGCTCAGATTATTTATATTGTTTTAAAGAATTATAAATAATAGTCTAAATTAAATATTCGTGGAAATGCTGCAGACAAATTAATTTGATGATTAACACTGCATCATAAAAGAAGCTTGGTAACATAAATTGTAGTGAAAGCAGTAAGAACACTGGAAATAAATATAAGTCAGTCTACATAAAGCCAACGTAGAGAAGAAAAGATAAAAAAAAGGGCATTTATATACAAACCACACAATTTTCATGTATGTACATATCTAACACCTAAAAATTCATATTTACATACAAACCACTCAACCTTTAGAATCACATTAAAAATATTACAATTGCTATCTTTTTTTTTATAAGTGAAATACACATTTTCATGCATAGGTTTATGACACCTCGGTGGTAAAGTGCAAATATCAAAATTTGGGTGTTAGATATGTAAATACAAAAGAATTGTGTTATGTATGTAAACTTCGAAAAAGTAAAAGGATTCTAGTCAGAGCAGTATTAACAGCATTGCAAGAACAGCAAAAAAAAAAAAAGAACAAAATGGATTCTAACTTAAGAAGTACTATCTGCCTTGTCTAATATGTTTGCTAAGTTGAAGAACATGATTTGATCAACAAAAACTTAGAGTCTCCAATGATATTGCAGATCTCTGATTGAATTGTTTCATCAAAAAGCCTGACATGGGGAGAAGGAAGTAACATGTAGCCAAAGACAACTTGCCCACTTCTTCGTAATGGCCTATTCTCCCTTATACTTTCTCTCAAGGTGGAGAGAGAGAGAGAGAGAGTCATCATGAATAAGAAATTTTTTCGAAGGTCGGCAAGTCATCCTTGGCTGCACCACACTTCCTGTGGCTCCATGTGAAGCCATAGATGAGTAGGAAACTTCAATGTTTTTCTCATGAAATTTATTTCTACTTGCAGGAAGGAAAATGAAGACGAGGGGAGGAGAAAGGAGAAGAGATAGTGTGTAGCAAAGAGAAGCTGGAGCTGATCCTTATATGGAGTTGGATGGAAGAAAACAGCACTGGACAATTCCCAATGTATCTCACTTTGGCCCCATAGAATAAGTCAGTGATAACTCATAAGTTTCCCTTCATCTCCCTAGCTCTCTCTCTCTCTCTCTCTCTCTCTCTTTCATTTTGTCTAAACCTACCTGCGCGCGCGCACACACACACGGTCATTTTCGTAACAAAGAAAATTAGATTAATAAGCATAAGGTTGATATAACTAAGTATATGGAAGAAGTATTTGTATGGGAAAAAATACACAAACGTTGGAACTATAATTAGTTTGAACTGAATTTCAACAACTATTAATTAAAAAGGCATTTACATACATACCACTCGATTCCTATGAATTTACATATCTAAAATCTAAATTTTGGTTTTTACATTTATACTTCCTGAATCTTTCATATTACATCAAAAATACCTTCATTTTAACTTTTAGAAGGTGAAATACACTTTTTAATCCATAAGTAATATATATGTAAAAAAATTGAAGTTTAGAGGTTAGATTTGTAAATAATTGAGTAGTATGTAATGTAATTCTTCCTAATTAAAGCAGGAGCTACTGCATGCAGGTGAGTTACAGGTGAAGAAAGAATTACATGCCTATTACTGATTTATGAAAATCAGCTCTTTTTTACTATGAAATTTTCTCCAACTTCATTAAAAAAAATAATACTAAATTTACCCTCATGCTACTTGTCCATGGAGACAAGATTGAAATCAAGATAAGAGGATCCAAACTGCAGAACCACCATGAATCACTAAGTCCCACTGCAACAAAAAGGTAAAAATATAAATTTTAAATTCACAAGGGGCTGAGAGTGGGATACAACTGTAGATTCTCCCATAAGTGGAAAGTTTTGTTTTTTTAAGTATACCCAAATAGGATAACCTGGTGAAGAAAAAAGTTGCAGCACTAATATATCACTCTAAAAAAAAAATAAGGGGCATTTACATGCATAGCACACAATTTTCATGTATTTACATATCTCACACCTAAACTTTCATATTTACACATATTGCAATCAAATCATTCATATGATAATATCACATAAGAAATAGCACTATTACCATTTTTTAGAAGTGAAATATAAAGCACTGAAGTTCTAATTTGTAAATATGGAAGTTTAGGTGTGAGATATGTAAATATATAAGAATTGCATGCTAGCTTTGTAAGTTTCCCAAAAAAAATGTTGGATAACGTAAATTATTGCAGAGAGCATAGCCTGCAGTTCTGGTATCACATTCAATTTAAGAGAGATAATCTTCAGTAAATTAGCTCTTTGGTTATACTAAACTTTGCTTCATCAATAGAACAAGAGTTACTTATTTATTCACGCTTTATATCCAAAATGAAAATAAAGATGTCCTTTTTTTTAATCTCTGCAATGTCTTTTTCTCAGCACTATCATAACATTGGGAGCTTGAAAACAATGGCTGGAAAGTTACAGCTTCTCTCCAAAACCACCTTTCGACTCGAATTCCTTTCATCATTTAAGTTGAGGTAAGGCATGATTAGCATCTTATCTTCCAGTGGGGTCTTCTGACAGTGATGGGCTCATGCATGAAAGCCAAAGAAGTAGATGCTCCTACAGACAACAACTTTCTTTGATGGATTTGGAGTGGATAGAAAAAATGGAAAGATGGAGCAGTATGGAGGGCACAGGAGAGGACATGAACAAGTAGTTGGAGAAAATAGTAGGCTTATAAAGTTGCTTGAGAGGGCCTGACTCTTTGTAAGGGGCCATCTTAATCCTAAAGTCTATAAAAATGTCAATTTTGTCCTCAGACTCTTTTAATTGAGTACTATTTTAACTCGTATTAAAAGAGTATAAGATTAATTTGACATTTTTATAGAGTAGGGGGCTAAAATGACACTATTTAAATAGTCAGTGTACCATTTTGGCACTTTACTCATAAGATGTAGGACTTCTGGTTCAGTGAGGTCCCCCTCAATTTTCTCAAGAGTGAAATAGAGCTGATGGTTAATTATACTACGGTGCTTCTCATAGAAACTCAGGTAACTTTTCTTCAGCATTCATTTTACATTGAGATCTATGTTTTTTTTATAGAAGTTTTTTATCAATTATAGTAATTTATTTAGAAAATTCTGTTCCAATTTTGCTGCAAAATGAAACCTGATAGTGTGCAAAACATTCATTGTTGGAGCTTTGTATTAACCTGAAGTACGGTTCTCTGAACTAATTTGTAGTTTTCCTTTTAGTGGATAATCGTTTTAAATGCATAGAAGTTCAGAAATTATTGTTGGAGCCCATGTAGAAGAAATTAAGCATCTTTGCTTAGATCTTTTAGAGAACCATTAACTACACAAGTCATCGAAGTGAATTATTTACAAGCCAGAATGAAAGGATGTGGTGGATTATCTCTAAGAATTATAGTGGATTTTGCCTATTAGGACTCTTATGTTGCTAATCTATAGTTCTTTACTTGCTGCTAATCCACATCTCTTCTTCTTCCTCCTCTTTGTTTTTTTTTTAATCCACATCTCTTCTTTGTTGTTGTTGAGTGTAGAATTTCTTATGTTGGATCTATACTTGTTATTTGGGGTGTCAAATTGGGTTCGTAGGTTGGTTTGGAGTTCAACTTGAAATTGACCTAACCCGAAACTGGTTGACCAGAATATTAAATGGGTTAGAAAGTTCAACCCAAAACGACCCACCTTCAACCCACTAACTCGAACTCGACCCATATAATCTGTTTAACATAAGACATAATAGTTATTTAGTACAAATTTTGGTTGATTTCGAGTCAATCTCAGTTTAATTTAGGATTTGCGGGTCATTTTTGGGTTAGTGGATTGATTTCTGGTTGATGAGTCAACCCGAACTCAACCCAAACAGATTGGGAATCATAACCCGAACCTGACTCGAAAAATATTTGGGTAACTCTAACATGGATTTTTTGAATCAAGTGCAAGTCGAGTTGAGTTGTCGGGTCAAATGTTAACACTCTTACTTGCGACTTTCTCAACTTGAATCTAGAAAGTGGTAAGCAACAACAGAACTGGAGACTTAACCTTAAAGCAATATTAATAATAATTGTCTAACATCAAGTAAACAAATATACCTTACTAACAAAAAGAAAGACCATAAAATTAACCTTAAAAAGTAAAACTTAGAACAATTATTTGAAACTACTGTGAAGCTAATAGATACGCCAACCATCAAGAAATTCAATATCAATGTGGTTGTCTCTGAATGCAGGTTCTCTTGTCAACCTTATTGGAGCTGCAAAAGTAACATAGGATGAGTTTATCAAGCAAAAAAAAAAAAAAAGAAATTCATTTATTAAGGGGTGAACTCTTCTTTTTTGGTTAGGGCTATCAACCTTGATAATTGTTGTAGGAATAATTTGATAGGAGCTCGACGAGTTTTCCACAAAACATAGGACAAAAAGTAATAGATTTTATTCTGTCAAAAACAAATCAAAGCAAGACAACTCTTAATGCAAAAAGGATAAACACATACAATTCGAGAGGTAGGCAATCTCTCCCCTAAGACTCAAGGAAACAATCTCAAAGCATAACTCTGAACCTAAACATATTAGACTAATTTATACCTCATAATAATAATCATAATAAAAGATGAAATTGCCCTTAGGCTACTAAAAGGCAAAATTACTCTTAGATGATAGTTTAATATAATTCAACTTGCAGCCAACTAAAACTAGATTAGTAGACCGTGCTCCTATCTCTTCATTAAAGAGGCCGGATGTTCAAATTTACTTGAAAGTACCCATGTATAGTATATTAAGTAATAAGTATTATTTTTATTATGGATTTTAGTCCTTTTTTTTCTAAATAGATTGCTTTTCTACATAAGGTTTTATTCACTTAGTGCATTTTCTATTTATCAAGTATTGTAGACCTCTAATAATAAAGCATTAAGGGTTCATGTTGTAAATTGTAATACACTTGATATGTATTAAGCACACTTTTCAAGAATCATATGGTTGAACTCTTACATTCTTAATATTCACTATGCACAATAATCCTTACATTTTGCTCATGATATTTACCTAACTAATGCAATGGGAAATTTACATACCACCCAATTTTGTTTTATTGGCTTATCTAACACCCAAATTTTGATATTTACACTTTCAACCTCTTGGTGTCATAAATCTATGCATGAAAAGGTATATTTCACATTTTTTTTTGACTAGTGATTACGGTATTTTTGATGTGCTGTTAAAGATTTGAATGATATGCATGTAAAAATGATTGTTTAGATGCTTGATGGATATGATCAATAGCCATGCTCTATTCACAAGCATACTACTAGCTAGCCTAACCCATAGGCTATACATTAAAAATGATAACTTTATCAAGATGGATCGTCGACGGACTCTGTTAGTTCGATAATAACCGTCCCATTGATTCATGATTGTTGCATGAGGCTAACACATTGTCATATGACATTGTTGAACATCCACTCCTTGACACTCTATGGTAATGAAAATATCATATGAATGTTGTCAATTAGTTGTCATACACATGTTGTGAATACATCTTTTAGCCGATCATGGTTGATAAGGATCCATCATCTTAACAAATTTAACGTCGTCGCAGAGTCTGAGAATGATGAACATACCGGATGTCATCAAAGTTCAAAGATAATGTTTGACATACCGGATGTCATCAAAGTTCATCATTACTGCATGAACTTTGATGAATTTAGAGAGGCAGAACTTTTGTTCTTAAATTAGTCTTTAGTGTCATTGATATGCCTCCTATTAATAGTGTAGCACTACGAGGTGGTGTTTATCATCGACTTTTTCGTCCTCCGCAACCCCACGCCGCTACATCTTTCATAGCCTCTTCCCCGGTGCCCCCTACTACCGCGCCTTCTCAACTTTGCTACATCTTCCCTACTTGCTATCCCCTTCAACTGTAGCCGTCCAGCCTTGCCGCAGCTACGGCCTTGCTGCCCCTTGCGCCCTGCAACCACAGGCCTCCACTCCCACACCACCGTCAATTGCCCCAACTTGTTGTCATTCGATCAACTGACGCACCCTACCATTATTTCTCGTTAAACCGCAACATCATCACCCCTGATCTATGCCCTTGTTTAAGTTCTTGTTGTGTCATTTTGTTATTTTTTTTATTTCCAAATGTGTTGGTTGTAATCTCTATTTTATTTCAGTAATAAGATTTGCATTTCTTACTAATGTTTTAGTTAACTCCATTATCAACTCTACTCTTATGTATTTCCATATGTAACACCAAGACTTTAATTTTTATATATGTCTTCTTGCCTTTGCATGAAAAGATGTATTTCACTTTTAAAAGTTAAAATAGTAGTATTTCTTTTTTAATATGAAAGATTTAGGAGATATAAATATAAAATATAACCGCTTTTTATCAAAGCTATCTTCTTCATTAGAGAATCATTGAATATTAAGCTTGCCCAAGAAACTTCTCGAGACCGACTATTTATGCTCAAAACATTTGCTTACCTTCAAGTTGGACCTTACTAATGCATGCTTTCGTCGATGGCAGGGTGAGCGCTCAAATCCAGCATAATGAGATTTGTTATTTTGTTTCCAACCAATGTGTTACACAGTCGAACACTTATGATCCTAATTTCGCTTCACATATACTTAATGTTATTAGCATGTGAACGAAGTTGAGAGTGCAAACTCGTAAATTATTATCGTTGTATTTTATTTTCTTTCATTTATTTTATGGGGAACATGTTTATGATGTTGACTCCTATATGAAAGAACTGTGTTCTTTCATGATATTGAGTTATTCATTAGGATTAGGTTGTCGTCGTCGTTTCGACTTAGCACGTGTAAAAATCTTTAAATGGTGAGTATTACAATAAGGTTTTTTTGGGGGGGTATGTACATACATACGACCCAATTCTTATGTATTTAGGAATTTAACACCTAAATTTTATTTTTTTTACATTTATATCTCTTAATATCATATTAAATAAAAAAAATATCATTATTTTAACTTTTAAAAGTGAAATACACGGTTCAATACATAATAATTGAATGTTATGCATGTTAAAAATTTAGGAAAAATTACAAAATAGAATAAAATTGTTTAATGACTCTTAATGAAATGACCTGAAAATAATGTGGGTCTGTCATTAGGGAACCCCGATTTATCAAATCCAGAGGTTGTTAAATCCGGATTATTGTTTGGTTTTGTCGTGTTTTATATAAATCCGTTTGACGTGTTTTCTTCCGAAGTTAAATCCGCTAAATCTATATAATAGTCTGATTTATTAAATCTAGATTTACGTCGAGAAAGAGATGGAATGAGGAGAAAATTGGATTTTTGCTATTCTATTTTTTTCGTTCGGCTTAATTTACATTAAATTCAAACGAAGATCATACATTATATATTAAAAGAGGGCATAAGACAGTATATAGAGAGATATAAAGGGGATAAGTACTTTAATACAAATGACAAGGGATAACACTTCATTTTATTTTTTCAAAAAAAAAAAAAAACAACAACAACAACACTGGCAAACGAGTCGAGTCAAGCTCGAGCCATCTTCGGCTCAAGCTTGAGCTTAATTAATTAAACGGGATAGAGCTCGGGCTCGAACTTAAATTTATGCGTACAAGCCAGCTCACTATTAGGAGAAGCATAATAACATATTATTTGATATAAAATATAAAATATTGTAAATGTCCCATATAGCATCTAAAAAGAGGACATTTACATACGTGGCGCATAATTTTTATATAATTACATATTCAACACCTAAAATTTTATATTTACACACATAGCTCTAAAATCTTTAACAATACAACTCTTGCTACATGTATACAAAATATAGTTATATACTTAAACAAGGTTTTTACATGGAGTGGAGGCCAACGAGTCTTCGAGTCTCATGCGTCATTTTCGGAAATCAGACCACTTTCATTAACTAGGCCCACCTACCAAATTGTCAGAACCGAGCCCACATACCAGAGTGTCAGAATTGAGCCCACCTGTCGAAGTTGGATGAACTGAGCCTACCTGCTAAAGCGCCTAGATGTTTGTCTCCCCAGAAGGCAAACTAGTCCATCTATGAAAAAAAATATTACATCCAGACAATGGTTGCGATTCACCGAAAGGAGCGGAAGAGGAAAAAAAAAAACCTCTAATGGATCGCAGTCGTAAGCCGGACGTAACTTGCATCCGAAATCTAGACGTAATACTTTTTTCCTTTTAGGGAGGGACAACTATCACAGATGGTAATTATTATTCGCAAGCACGCATGTTCATTCTTCTTTCTAAGTGCTGTCATACATCAACGTCGCGATCTTTTCATCAATGTCGCGACATTTATAATTAAAAGTTTTCACACTTTATAATTTTGCGAATATATAATTATTTTGTACATGCTTTCATATACATATGAAATATTTATTTGTATCCATCCCCTTTGATATTGACTAATAATAATTGTATATGGTGCATCATACTTGCCAATTTGTCTCTTGACCAGTCCATGGGTCATTATCTCCTTAGTGGGTCCCACCTTCTATTAACAAAGTAGCGCATGCCAAAATCTTGGCTGTTCTAGGGTTAAAAATAATGTATTAGAGAGTGTTTTTATTCTTAATCACTTGTCATTAAGTCTTTTATTTTGATTAATTAATTCTTAATTGAGGGCTAATGACTAATTTTAAAATAATAAGCTGATTTTTCTTCAGGCCAATAATTGCTACTTTCCATGCCTAACAAGCATAGCTTAGGAACTGCATGATTTGCAATATATATATATATATACCCACTAATATATATAATAAAATCAGGAATATTTTGTCTTTTTAAATTTTAATTAATTCAGTTGTAAATATTAAAAATGTTAATTATTAATTTATTAAATGCTATGGTATTCAATTGCAAAATTAAATGCAATGACTTGGGCTATTGAGTATTTACATTAATAGATTGGAAAATATAAAGAAAAAAATTGGCCAAAATATTCTTATTTCCTTGTATTAAACACATAGTAATGCTTGTCATCATCAACATTATTGCAATCAATCATCGCTAACAACATCAACATCTAATATCCACAATAACATTAACATTCACAATCATCGAACACATTGATACTGCATTACTCATAACATTAAAGCCTATAGTCGCAAATAATTCCCACTCTTTATCACCAATGACATCGATGTTTGATGTCATGAAAAATATCAAAATTCGTCATCACCAATAAAGCATATGCGTGTTTTGACCATCGAAGCTGGGGATTGTCATCGATACTAGGGCTAATATTTCGTCTTCCTTCGTACGAGGAGAATGAACGAGTAGATTGTCACTTTTAGATCTCTGATCATAAATATGAAAATTTTCTTTCGTTGTTCATTTATACTATATTATTCGTTATTCATGCATGCCCGAAATACAATCTTATCGGAGTGAAAGGAAAAAAATATGAGCTTATTAAACATTCACTTAAGTTCACGAGGGACGAATGTCTCGCCGAGTGTCCTCATCGAACTTGCTTGGTCAACTACTCAGCGAGAGGATCACTATCAATCTATGTCTGAGTTAATATTGTGCTTATACACCTCTATTTTTTTTTTTTTACTTTTATTTGCATTCTTATTATATGCATAGTTTATTATGTAAAGTTTAAAAATTTTATTGATAAAATATGTATGAGATTAAAAATAAAATTAAAATTCCAGTCTAAAATATTAAGGATTGAAGTATTTAATTCATTGAAAATCAATACCATAATTACATTTAAGTAATATGACAAAAAAACTTATGAGTTACTTGCTTAAGAGAAGTATGGGAATAGTACTTATACATACATGTATGTATGTATGTACATATATATATATATATATATATATATGTTTTGTATGTGTATATATATATATATATATATCTCTTATATGTATGTATGTATATGTATGTATGTATATGTATGTATGTATATGTATGTATGTATATGTATGTATGTATATGTATGTATGTATATGTATGTATGTATATGTATGTATGTATATGTATGTATGTATATGTATGTATGTATATGTATGTATGTATATGTATGTATGTATATGTATGTATGTATATGTATGTATGTATATGTATGTATGTATATGTATGTATGTATATGTATGTATGTATATGTATGTATGTATATGTATGTATGTATATGTATGTATGTATATGTATGTATGTATATGTATGTATGTATATGTATGTATGTATATGTATGTATGTATATGTATGTATGTATGTATATGTATGTATGTATGTATATGTATGTATGTATGTATATGTATGTATGTATGTATATGTATGTATGTATGTATATGTATGTATGTATGTATATGTATGTATGTATGTATATGTATGTATGTATATAGGAATTAAATATATAATTTTCAAAGTTATGTTCAACTTAAAGTATTTAGATGATAGGTAAGTGCCAACTCATCATTTATATATGAATATATTTTCACCTATATTAAAAAATTTAAACCTAAAATTTATATGTACATCTTCATCATGATATAAATTGATAATGAACTCTTCATAAAAAAAATATTGTTTTTATTTAAAAAACAAAAAGTTTAAGACATACAAAGATAAAAATAAATTGTTAAGTATAAAAAAGTTTTGATGGGCTTTATCTCAAACTACATCTTGTGATGGAAAAAATTACTTTAAAAAAATTTGAATTTTAAAATATTTAGATAAAAAAAATATATGAAAATAATGTTCACATAATTCTAGGCATAAAAATTCTCAGAGACAAAGCACCTAGAAAAGGTTGGCTTTTGGAAAGAGCAAATATTCAAAATGTGTTGAAGAAGTTTATGGTTAATGACTTGAGCAAGGCTGTGAGTCTATCCATTGCATCTCACTTTCAGTTGGCTTCAGATCAGTGTCCTAAAGATGATCATGAGAGAAAATATATGTGATCGGTTATTTATGCTAGTGTAGTGAAAAATCTGATGTATTGCATGATTTATATTAAAATAGACATTGCACAAGTTGTTGATATTGCGATCAAATTCATGCATGATAAAAAAAGGGATTCATTAGCACATTGTGAAGAATATTCTAAAATAAATTAAAGGAATTGTTGATGTTGGCTTGGTGTTTAAAAGACATACATTTATTACTGATTTATATGTAGGTTATACTTATTCAGATTATGCAGCTGATATTGATAGGTGGTAGTCTACAATCGATTTTTTTTTCACATTGGCAGGAGGTTCAATCTGTTGGAGATCAGTTTTTCAGTCTATTGTTACTTTGTCTATTACGGAGCTTGAGTACATAATAATCATAGAGGCAACGAAGAAAGCGAAATAAATGCAAGGTCTATTGGATGACTTGGAAGTTGATCACGAGTCTCTGGCAGTCTTATGTGATAGTTAAATTGTGATACAAGGGGGGAACCAGCCTCGTTTTTTCGGGGTAAGGCAAAGAAAGAAAAAGAAATATGCAAGATGGATATTTTTAAGAGGGGCAAAAGACTAAATTTCCCTCTTATATAATAAAAATTTCAATTTGAGAGGGGCAATTCCCCCATTGGACCCTAACTGAGTCTGCCTCTGGTGATGTTCTGGATCAAAAATTCATCATGCTCATTCCAAGCACATTGATGCTAGGTAAGATTATCTTCGAAACTTAATTGATTATGATAATATTTTATTGAAAAAGATATATATTAAGGTGAATACATCAGACATACTCACAAATGTACTACTAGTTCAAAAGTTTATGTTCTATAAAAGCTTGACGAACATTCGAGCTCAAGATTAATCACACATTCTGATATTTTGAAGAATTACTAGAGGTTGATCCCTTCGAGAGAGAAGGGTGTGTAAGCAATCATCTTGGCACAGTCGTTATCATGTTGGAGCTCATTTTAATCATCTCTCACTTATCTTAAACTTAGAGATGGGAGAAGTTTGTTATGAAAAGTATTAAAATCCAATAGTTGTAAATTTAAAAATCTCTGTATTATGAAGATCGATATTAGATAATCTAATTTGAGTAGATCTAATTATATGATTATTTTTCTAATTTAAGGAGATTTAAATATATGATAATTTCTATATTTAAAACATTCTTAATTGATATATCATAATTAAATATATAAAGGATTATAAATAAATTTATGCCAAATCATATAAATCGTATAATATTTAATTACTTATTTATATTTCTCGCATTATTTTACAGAACAAACCAGACAGAAAGAGCATCTTACATATGATCTGATAAACAGACCATATTCCCAAATCACACGAGCGCTGCCCTTCCAAACCTCTCTTCTTCTTTAATCCTCTCTTCTGTACCACACCGAGCAGAAAGCTTTGAAAACTGAAGGGAACACAGAAGAGAGAGAGAGAGACAGTGTTACGCTTCCCGATGCTGTTCTCTCTCCTCCCTTCCCCTGTTTCTACTCCTGCAACTCCCTCGAAGTTCAGCGCATTCATTGCCTCCGAACTGCAAGGCTAAAGCTGCTTCCTTTGTTAAAACTGAAACAACTCATTAATCACTCTCATCTCTCTCTGTCTCTCTCTCTCTCTCTCTCTGCTTCCATCCTCTCAGTTTAGATATGGGTGCAAGAAGCAATGAAGCTTTTTCTCCATCTGAGGAGAAGGAGAAGAGGCAAAGTTGGGGGCTTGAAGCTCTTCTCGGAGAGGAGATAGAAAGTAGGGAGCATGGTGGTGTGAATTCGAAGCTCTGTGTGAGAGGCCATTGGAGACCTGCAGAAGATGCTAGGCTTAAGGAGCTTGTTGCTCAGTATGGCCCTCAAAACTGGAATCTCATTGCAGAGAAGCTTGATGGAAGATCAGGTTTTTTTATCACTAATATTTATCCATTACTTTCAAATTTTGATTTTGTGCATAAAAAAACGATTTTTAACTGCAAATTATTTCTAATTAATGGTATTCTCCCATGAATTAGGGGAAGAGATTTGCTTTAAGATTGATGTAATATTATTTTATTAATATAGAGAGGAATATAATATTGAACAAATCGATTAAAATTAATGATTTTGGATAGAAAATGAGCTTAAAAGCCAATAAGCGGTGTCAGAATTCCGCAATTAATGCTGTTTATACCTCCAATGAATATCAGTATTTTTTAAAACTGAGATTTTTAATGCAAACACTAATAGCTTTAAAATGAAAAAGAAAATGGTAAATATATATAAAAAAAATGCTTAAATTTTGAATTTTTAGATAGAAAGTGAGCTTAAAAGGCTAAAATTCAGAAATTTAAACAAACTTTGTTGCAGGCAAGAGCTGCAGATTAAGATGGTTTAACCAGTTGGATCCAAGAATAAACAGAAAGGCCTTCACTGAGGAGGAAGAAGAAAGGCTTCTCTCAGCTCACAAGTTCTATGGCAACAAATGGGCGCTCATCTGCAGACTGTTTCCAGGAAGAACTGATAATGCTGTAAAGAATCAGTGGCATGTGATAATGGCGAGAAGACAGAGAGAGAATTCTGATGCTCATAAAAGGAGAAAGTCTTCATCTTCTTCTTTCGTCTCCTCTGTAAAAATGGAGGAGAAGAATGTTTACAGGGATGAGTTCAGTAGCTCAAAAAGCTTCCACCTTTCTCTTTTCCTCAACAGTTATAGATTTGCAGGACCTTCATTACTCATTGGTGAGCTTTGATCTCAAGATTTATCTTTACAGAAACCATTTATATTTGATTTTGATTGATCTCAGTATTGTTTTCCATTGAAATTTGTTAGGTTGGTCTGATGGGAAGTCTGAAACTTCAGCAGCAGAAACAGTGACCAGCCATGACAGAGAGGAGATGAAGTTGCCCTTCATTGATTTCTTAGGTGTTGGAGCAACATAGGCAATGAGAAGAAAGTTATGAGAGGGAAGAGTTTTTTGGGATAGAAATTTTAAGATTTATGTTCACAAAAGAATATAAATCTTGCAGTATTATAAGTGGTGATAAAAGTTACTTTTTGGAGCTTTTATAAGGAGTTTTCTTTAAGATTTCTATCAAGTTAGGGTTTTTATTGAACTTCTGAATGTTTTTAACAAAGAGGTGAAGTTCTTTCTTCATGTTTTTTAAAGTTCTCTTATGTTTTTTTGGCATTCATATGGTGAGAGTTAGGGCTATAAGGTTTGCTAATGTTGGAAACTCAAGATTTGCACATTTAATTTTTGTTGACTTGAGCTTCTTTGGTGCGTTGTGTTTTGAAATCACACCCAGGACTATTTGGGTAAATTGTGTTCTGGTAGTTTATTCAAAAAGATGTGTTTTCAAACTGCTGAAATCAACATTTTCACACTGTTCCTGACTAGGTTCGATGGCAATTTTTCAGCTGCGATCTAGCTTTTTCAAAAAAAAAAAAAAATTGCAATAGCCACCATAGTTTTTTTAAGAACTGATTATTTTTCAGCAGCTTATCAACCACTTATTAATAAGCTGTAGTTGCGCCAAACTTACCTAAATTGCTTTAATTCAAAGAAGGGTCGCTTGAAACAATTTAGTACTCTCAAACTCTAACAAACCTACTACATGTGAGTACTCACTCTCAAACGGAGCTCATCTGTTGAAGGGGTTGAATTAAGCTCACATGTCAAAGTGGTCGAACTGAGTTCGTATGTCGAGATAGTCACCTAAGTGGTCGAATTGAGGGCCCATTTGGGACAACTTATTTGGTGCGGCGGCGTTTTGAAAATGCATCTCGCCTGTTTGAGTAAACTGCGTTTTGGTTGCATATGAATTTTTAAAATGCTGAAAACAACGTTTTCACGCCGCACCTATCTAGGTGCGGTGGGAGTTTTCTGACTGCGGTCTGGCTTTTCCAAAAAAAAATAAAAATTTGTAATAGCTACCGCACCTAGCTTATCAGCAAATTATTTTTAATCAACTTATCAGCAGATTATTCAATAAGCTACAACTGCCCTTTAATCTTAATCAACTTATCAGCAGATTATTCAATAAGCTACAACTGCCCCAAACAGACCCTGAGTCTATCTACCAAAGGGATTGAATTAAACTACAACTCCACGTCTATTCTTACTTAGGGCAACATCTGATGTCCACATCACAATATTTTTATCATACGTTTATTCTTATTTATGACATCGTCTGACATCCACATCGCAATATTTTTATTAAGAAATTATGAACAGACGTAGTATCTCTTATGGGATTGAATTTTATAATTTTTTTTATCAAACCAAAAAAAAAACCTTTGAATTATTTCTTGCAATCCAAAAAATTTCAAAAAGAAAATCAAAATTCGTGTTCTAGCAACACATCAATCATCTTCTTCCACATCTTCCTTCTAAAATATTATTTTTCACAAAATGTCAGAGAAATCCTATATCCTAAAAGAATTTAACACATACAGACCGCTCAATTTTTATGCAATTACACATCTAACCCCGAAACTTTAATTTTCTCTTTTTAAGTCAATGAATCGAAGGGGCCAAAGTCAAAGGTATGAGTTTGGCCATATAAATTATTAAGAAAAACAATGAAGCTTTGACAATTGTAAATTGCAAATATACCATATGAGTTGGTCACATTTTTATAATGATGAATGCTTTTTGGAGTCTATTGGGGGAGTTTAATAACCAAGTTATGAGTTCATAGTAGGAATTATAAGTCTAAGTGAAATGTAAACTCAAAAGCTTTAAAATTTATCTTTACTAATTTGCCTCCCATAATAAATTTGATATTTCTTTATTTTTTCAATTTAGAAGAAACCTTTTTTATTGTCAGAAAAGTGTGGCATGAAAAAATAATATGTTAGAGTTACGTGCAGAGTCCAATGAAATTACGTCATGGAGGTGATCGGCCCGGTAACATAAGGGAATATTCCCCTCGTGTTATTCAGGTGTTATTGTGTGTTTTTCATATGTTATTGTGTGTTATTCAAGTATTATTGATGTGTTATTGTGTTATTATAACACTTAGAATATTCCCAGAACACAATAACACATGAATAACAAACAATAACACATGTAATTGAGTGGTATCTATGTAAAAGTGTAATGTTTTTACGTGTTATAAAAGATTTGAGGGTCTAAAATGTAAAAGTGTAACATTTTAAGAGTTAGATATGTAAATAGATAAGAATTGAGAGATATTTATGTAAATGCCCTTTTTAAGGACTTATTATTAACATTTATGATTTTTCATTTCATGTTCATTTCTCAGTGATCTTATTAGATATTTTACTTGCTTAAAATAGCTTAAATGATGCTTTATATATTTAAATATTAATCACTGTTCAAAAATTAACTTCGGTTTTTTTGTAATGATTATTAAAATGGGAGGACAAAAATGTAATTATAAGTCCTTCCATAATTACAATATGAAGTCACTTTAGAAATCTATTTCATGAAGCAAATTTAAAATCATTATGATTTGCATTCTTTATTATTTATCAATTGTTAAGTTTAATACAATAATTTTATACATTTTGACTATTTAGAGGGTGTAGTGAATAAAACAACTTTTTTAGAAAATTATGTTTGCATAACTTTTTAGAAAGCAGATCCGTAAATAGAATTATGATGACGATCTGAAACGCAAAGCAGATAGGAGTTATCACAAACAGACACTAAGAATCTGTTTGGGACAACTGCAGCTGTTTAAAGAAGCAGCAATAAAGTTATTAAAGAAGAAGCTGCGGCGACAATTACAATTTTGTTTTTTAATTCTTTTATAAAGTCAGGTCACAGGCTTTTTGAGAATGTAGACAAAACACAGTTTTACCAAAGTAAAAAAAGCGACGGTACGACACCAAACAGCCACTGCATCGCCTCCCCAAACGCACCCTAAGTTCCCAAAGAAGCACTGCTAAAAATAATTTATCATTAAAAATCAATAAAGTTAGGGGCATTTACATACATAAGACCTAATTCTCATGTATTTAAACCTCTTGCTCCTAAACTTAAATTTTTATATTTATAAGATTCAAATCTTTCATATTACAATATATATACACACACACACACACACACACACACACACACACACACACACACACACACACACACACACACACACACACACACACACACACACACACACACACACACACACACACACACACACACACACATATATATATATATATATATATATATATCATCATTTTAACTTTTAAAAATTGAAATACACCTCATTTATATATATTTGAAATTTAGATATTTTATATGTAAACTTATAAGAAATGAGTGATATGCATGTAAAATTAAATTAAATTTCTCTTTTTTGGGGCATATATTTGTTTCATTATTTATAAAAATTGACCACCTGAAATTTTCTATTTACAAATCAACCAGCCAATGTCATTCATCTTACAAATTCAAACTCGAATATCAAAATTCACAATAAAATTTCAACCAATATTTTCATTTTTTTATCAAATTCTCTATATTTTGATCATGACATGCGTAAATACATCACTTCAGTAATTTAACAAAAAAAATACACGGGCACTTAATTTGTAAATATCAATATCTCAGATGGCCTGTATGTAATCATCTCAAAAATTCTATTATGTCTTTAATTTTTAAAAACAAGTTTAGAATCTCTTTGTAGGTTTTAGAATTTAAATAGCATAATTTGCATCATTTAGACAAAAAGAATTAACAATAAGATTATTTTATATTGTGTAATATTTTAATTATAATCAAATATTATATATCACTATCAAATTATTTTAAATTTATTAATTTTATTTTTTTATTTTTTTTAAATTTTTTATCATGTGGAAAAACTAATAAAGTATATAATATTTAAAAAATAAATAATTTATTTAAATATTTGTTATAAAAATTACAAATATACCACCCTTCTACAAATCCGTTGTAGTCTAGTTGGTTAGGATACTCGGCTCTCACCCGAGAGACCCGGGTTCGAGTCCCGGCAACGGAATTTTTTGTCTTTTTTCCTTTTTGGTTTTTTTTGCACAACGGTCCTTGGAAAAAATGCAAATTGCATTGAGTTAGAACTGTTAGCAACGACAAATGGTTTCCAGGAGTTAATTGGTATGATCTCACATTATTTATTAAATTTAATTAATAGGTAAATGTGTGAATATTTTTAAAGTGTTGAAGCTTAATTTTATTATTTATTAGTAGTAGAAAAATATGTTTCTCGTTGAGACTGAATTGGAAGAAAATATTCCGTTCAGAAGGCCAATCATCGGCAGCTGCATCGTCATATATAGGGCTGTCAAAATGGCTCACGAACAGCTCGTGTTCGACTCGTTAAGAAGTTCGTGTTTCGCTCGTTAATTTCGTTCGATTAGTTAACGAGCCGAACACAAACTAAGATGCGTTCGTTCGTGTTCGGCTCGTTTTGGCTTGAAATACTACACATCAAGTTTTTATATTAAGTAGTATTTTAAGATAATCTAATTGGCTACAAGGCTACAAAGATTTATAATTAATTAAAATATTGAGTAAGAAAATAAAATAAAAATTATTAAATTATATTCAAATGATGTTTTAGTATAAATAATAATTTTTAAATCTTGCTCAAACTCTTGTTATATTATGACTACATGATTAGGATTGTTAAAAGGACTCTTTGTTCGTGAACAGCTCGTGTTCGGCTCATTAAGCAAACGAGCAGAACACGAACACATTTTTAGAGCTCGAAATATAAACGAGCCGAACACGAGCTGAGCATGGCTCGCTCCTGTTCACGTCATTGTCCGACGACATGACTGTCGGTGACGTCCGAACGAAATAATTTTTACCCTACATCGCTAGGACTTAAATAATATATTTTTTTTAATTCGATTTATAAACAAGCTGCACGTAGATAAACTTTTATTCAATCATGTTCAGATTATATTAGCGCAAATAAATTAAACAATTCAATAATTAATATTTTTATCTTATTTTTTATTATGTAAAAAAAAAATCAATTTTTATTATATATTAAATCATTTGAACTAATTTTGGGCCAATCTTCAATTTAATTAAACTTGCAATTTATATTTTAATTGACATCTCATAAAGCAGAAAAATAATACCTTGAATCTCAACTAAAACTTATTCCAAACCATGACAATAACATTTATGTACCATTATTACCAAAATTTACATCATCAACCCTTCCAAAATTGCAGAGATGACCCCAAAGGCCGCACTCAATATTTATAAAAGGTATAATTACAGCAATCTGAAACACAAATTTCTGGATGGAATTAGTAACTCCCTTACAATGTGATTTCCTGGAAGGATTGAGACCGAGACATTGCAGCTGGATTGGCATGCAGTACTTGTGAGGTGTTGGAGCCACCTTCTGCTCCATTTTCATTCTTTGATGAGAAGGATTTGAAGGTACAAGCTTCCATGGGTTTGATGCCAAGAGTGGCAAAGATGGAGCTCTTCGCCGCCTCGACCGGATCGTCGATTCTCAGCGTCTTCGGAATCCATAAAGATTTCTCTGAATTCTCCTCCCTGGAATGCTTGCCCAAGGTTGGAGAAGCATTTCCAGAACAATGAGTGGTGATTGTGGAAGAAGAAGAAGAAGATGATGATATCAACCATGGTGGATTCCATGGTTTACCAGTCCAGCTCCAAAATGGGAATGGAAGAGGAGGACAGAAAGCTGGAGAGGTCAACAATGGCGGCATCAGTGTTAGGAAGCCATTCTCCTGACCTGTGACAGGAGCATTGTTCCATCCTGGACCGAAGGGAAATGCGAGAAGAGGACCTGGGAAATACTGGAAGTGAGGAAAGGGTGTGATTCCATTACTGTAAGAATTCATGGAGTTTTCAGGGAAGCCATTTTCTTCTGGCTTGGAGACTGATGAACATGAAGTTTCATCTCTACTCTCTGTAAGCTCCAAGTTCTGCTCTGCAAGGTTTAGCATGGAGGCAATGGATTCGCAGAGAGGAGCATCTGGTCCAAATTTTAATATGGTGGTGTTGCAGTTTAAGGGAGATGCGGGTTTAGGATCGATTGAATCAGGAACATCCGTTTGAACTGATGGGAGTGAATCAGGTGTGATCAATGTATGACAGTAGCCGGACAAAGTGTGCTTGTTTTTACGTCTTCCGGCGCCGACGGGAACGTTTCGCATTGATCCCCCTGCTGTCCAATATCTTTGGCAGTTTTTACAGAAGTGTCTTGGTTGGTTGACATTGTAATTATTGTAATAACAGAACTTGGTGTCCATGCTGTTGCAACGCGGGCATGGAAGGATCTTATCTGGCTTCTTGAGGAGCTTATCTTGACCTGAAATGGCGGCCTCTTTGTGAACCGGTTCGGGCTGTGGTTCTTCGGCTTGGTTTGTGGTCTCGGTTAAAGTTTCTTTGCCGGCTTCAATGAAGTTGTTCAGAACAGAAGAGCTGAGCAGCTCCTTTGGATTCAGCTCTCCTGGAGAGTCCAGCATTGGCATGGCAACTTCGAAGTTTGTTTTTCCTTTGGATTTATCCTAAAGTTCAAAATGAAATCGCGTGAATTTTAACCGAGACAAATTAGTATTCATGTAGACAGCATGTTGTGTATCATTTATGAAGGGGAAAAAGTGTTAAAATGGTCCCTAACTCTTTGCACAGAGGTTATTTTGGTCATAGAGTTCATAAAAGTGTCAATTTAGTCCTCAAACCCTTCTAATTTTAATTGAATCAATCCCACATAATTTTGCACGGAGGTCATTTTGATACCTTAACAATGTTCCCATCAAATGAAACCATATTGGCCACTCTCCCATAAAATGAAAGTCATTGAGTATAATGCACCCATAGCCTACTTGACTACATCGTGTTTGCAAAGTACTCGGCGGTTCATTTACCAAACTCGACAATATCAAAAGCATGCATACCATTGGAAGCAACAAAGCTCATGAATCACTCGATCTCAACCAACTTCTACTTTTTGTTTACAATATCAATAAATATATCATATTTGCATAAATTGTATGTATAATAGTAAGGGTATTCTTGGGAATCCTACTAAAATGAAAGTCATTAAGTATAATGCACCCATAGCCTACTTGACTACATCGTGTTTGCAAAGTACTCGGCGGTTCATTTACCAAACTCGACAATATCAAAAGCATGCATACCATTGGAAGCAACAAAGCTCATGAATCACTCGATCTCAACCAACTTCTACTTTTTGTTTACAATATCAATAAATATATCATATTTGCATAAATTGTATGTATAATAGTAAGGGTATTCTTGGGAATCCTACTAAATCCAAATCACCCATCTACACAAATCAAGTGGGTAAGGAACAATTATTTTTATAGGTAAAACTCAAGGAAAAAGGTGATACGAGAGATTAATCTAGCTCTGAAGCAATATCAATAGTAGAGGAACACGCATATGAGTCAATCATAGCCTTCAAAGTTGTCTAATGTTGTGCTTCTTAACTAAAGATAAAATTATTTTATTACAAGTAATTAAATTACATTAGCCACATAGGTATTATTTTCCTTCTTATAAGTCTATCACAGGTTTAGCCGTAGAAATGTCATTTTAAGAAATGACATAATGATGTCATTAATTGACACCTACCAAAGATGAGTTTGAGAAGTTTATTGAGAGTAATGATTTCAACATTTGGGGATTTGGAAAATAAATATGAGAGCATTACTCTTAAATGATGGATTAGTTAAAGCTTTGAAGAGGAGGAAAACCTCTAACTAGTAGAGATGAGTAAATTCAATGACTGTCAATAAAAAAATCCTCAATTTTGAAGGTATTTTTTAGAAATAATAAGCCAATGTAAAACAAAGAATGCTTGGTGAAACTTGAAGCTTTCCGCGCGATAAAAATAGCTAATAAATTTTACTCTAGTCAAAATAACGATTTGCTTTATATAAGCTATCATTAAGATTATACTGAATTTGACTAATATTGATGTTAAAATTGAAAAGGAAGCTAAAACCTTGATTTTATTATGCCCACTATCATATTCTTATGAACATATTATTATCACCTTATCATATAAAAATACTTTATTTTCATAATCGAGTTTAATTCCTCCCAATTATCAAATGAGCTAAGGTTGAGGGTGCCAGAAGATAGCCATACAAAGAATTCTCATGAGAAAAGGCAGGAGTACGAAAAAGTAAGAAGAAAATCAAATCAAAGTTAAGATAAAAAGGCACTACCACTATAGTAACTGTGGATATAGTTGAACGCATAATTTTAAGGTGAAAACTAATAGAAAAATGTGGTATGAGAGTGATTCTAGCTCTAAAGTTGCATCAACTGAAAAGGAAAACATGAGCTCCCATGGCTTTGACAATGGTAGAATGTTGTGTTTCTTCCTAGGTTTTGCAACTCAGATTGGACATTGAACTAGAAGAAGATATTCAAGATTCAAAAATTCAATTGAATGAACTCCATATAATAAAAAATGTAAGAAAATAATAATATGATTTAGACGATATAATAATGATGCAATAATAATGTTTTTATCAACTCAGTACAGATTATTCTAAATCAAGCCATTTGACAATGAAATATTTATAAAATAAATCTAAATCAAAATATTGGGACCATACATATTACTTGTTTTCTCTGTCCATAGTCATACACCAATACAAATACTTGCAAAAATATTGAGAATACTGCCACTAGATTAGAACATCAAAAAAGACCAAAATGAGAAGAAATTTCACCACACTCTCTACCAATATTTTTAAAACATTTTAAATTTAAATAAGGGTTATAGATTTAAGTAACTTTAAATTAGGATGCATAGATTTAAGTACTTAGTTAATCTAAATCTTTTTTGTCTAGCCATTTAATTAAAATCAAAATGCCATAAATTTATTGCAAAAACAGGAACAGTTCCCTGGTTCAATTGCCAATTCCAACAGGCTTTAATTTCCATCAAATTAATCAATGATTCTAACCATATGAATATTTTGGATCATATTTGAGGAATCAAGTGACAAAATTGGACAATTTAAATAAGCTTTGTCTAAATGCCCTTCCCCTATAAGTACAATCACTATTTTGACCACTTTCTTAATATATAATATTGAGTTGGTGATCAAGGTTCTCATTGATACAAAGAGCGGTATTTAAAACTAATTGCAATTGACTCAAATAAGGAAAGAAATAAAAACACAATCAAAGAAATAAAAATAGAATAAAGATAAAAAGGAAACAACATAATGCAAAGTAAGGGGAATTAATAAACAGTAATGGCTACGGAAAGTCAATAAACCTAATAAATTTAATAATCCCCCTCAAGTTGAAGCAAAAATGTCAATCACGTGCAACTTAGATTTGAAGTCATCGAACAAAGGACGAGAAAGATTTTTGGTAAGGATATCTGTTAGTTGATCATTGGAGGGCACAAAAGGAACACAAATCTCTCCGACCTCAATATTTTCCTTAATCAAGTCTACGTCAATCTCCACATGTTTCGTACGATCATGCTGGATTGGATTGTGAGCAATACTGATGACGATCTTATTATCACAGAATAACTACAACGGGACGGGGGTTGGTATACGAAGTTCAGGGAGCATACTACGTAACTAAAGGGTTTCATAGATCCTCAAGGACATGAATCTGAATTCAGTTTCAGCACTACTCTAAACAACCACAGACTATTTTTTGTTTTTACGCGTGATAAAATTTCCCCATAAAAAAAGAGCAATATCCTAAGGATGTAACGTCAATCATGAACCGACCCAACCCGATTAATATCTGTATAAACAACAATAGACTGAGACGTATGACAAGAGAAAAAACAAACCTAAGCCCGATGGACCTTTTAAATAGTGGAGAATCTGGTGGACAGCTTGGAGATGATACTCGTATGTGTCATGCATGAATTGATTCACTATACCAACTGTGTGATATATGTCGGGATGAGTATGGGCGAGGTAGATGAGTTTCCCCACAAAGCGCTGGTAATGAGTTTTGTTAAATAGCACAACATTGGGAATGTTAGATAATTTTTCATTTGGGATCCAAATGGATAGCCATAGGTTTACATTGAAGAAGATTATTCTCTGTCAAGAGATTAATCACATATTTGCGCTGAGATAGACAAATGTCACGAGATGATCGAATGACTTCCATGCCTAAAAAGTACCGGAGAGATCGCAAGTCCTTCATTTCAAAGAACTTAGGAAGAATTTTATTCAAGGATTCCAATGTTGGAAGATCATTTCTTGTAAGAACAGTATCGCCAATATAGACAATAAAGATAGTTATCTAGCCATTGGAGGAATGTTGGAAGAAAAGAGTGTGATCTGATTGAGCCTAAGTAAAATCATGACTCACAACCCCTTTTTTGAATTTACTGAACTAGGATCTTCGAGACTGCTTTAGCCCATAGAGGAACTTTTGTAGCCGGCACACTTGTCGTCTATAGGCAGTAGAGTCAAAGCTAGGACAGAGAGAAATTTATGCCCCTTCTGTAAGCTCTCCATTTAAAAGTGCATTCTTTAACATCTAGTTGGAATAAAGACCAATCCAGATTCACCGCAGAGGACAACAAGACCCGAATAGTGTTTAACTTGGCCACTGGAGCAAATGTCTCTTCGTAGTCAATGCTGTAGGTATGTGAAAACCCTTTGGAGACCAATCATGTTTTGTTGCATTCAAAGGATCTATCAGAGTTGAACTTGATGTTGAAAATCCATTGGCACCCCGAAGCTTTCTTACCCGAGAAAGATCAACGATGTCCATTTGTTTCAGCATGCGGCTGTTGGGATCAACGACAGGAAGGGATTCACAACAGATCTGTGAAAAATGACAAATTTACTGAAGGGATGAAAACTACAAGAATAATTCAATGTAGATCTGTAGAAGGGATAAAAATTGCAGATCTGAAAACAGCAGATTGTTGTGAGAATTCTACATATTGGAAAATGGCAAGAAAACAGCAGAAAGAAACCTTTCCATAAAGAATCGACAGATTGCTGGGAGAATTTTGCAGTTTTTATCCTACAGATTGGAGAACGGCATAAAGAATCCTACAGGGAGAATTCTGGGCAGGCTGGAAGGGACGTCGAGATCAACTGCTAGAAGATTTGGCCGGGATGGAACCTCTAGGGTTAGAGTCATGCCTCTGATACCATGTTGAATTGGTGACAAGAAAGCTTGTTTCTCATTGATAAAAAGAGGGATATTTAAAATCAATTATAATTGACTAAAATAAGGAAAGAAATAACAATAACAATCAAAGAAATAAAAAACAGAATAAAGATAAAAAATGATACTACATAATGCAAAAAAAGGGGAATTAATAAAGAAAAACGGCTATTGAAAGCCAATAAACCTAATAAATCTAATAAATAATCAATCATAGTTTATTGCAATAAAGCATAGATAGATTGTTTATAAAAAAACAAGGTACAGACATGATGGAGAGTTCGATCATGAGCAAGAGGGAGGAGCTAATCGGACACGAGAGCAGCAGCGATCATGACTATCTCCTACTTGGTGGAATTCC